TAGCATGACTTAATCAATTAAAATAACACATTCCAGACTGCTATTGTTTGACAAAACTAATTTGTTTGCACAGATTTTCTTCGGATCTTTATACTATTGATGATTCTCGCCCATTTATTTTCAACATTCTCCTGGCCAATTTTGTTGGCCTGTTGGGAATTGCTATAATCTTGTCATATGTGCAGGTACAGAAATAGTTTCTTATAGATCCTTTTTACTTTATTTTGTTACTGTTACATGGATTTGATTTACTTAAAATGTTAAGTGGGAATATTTGTTTTACTAGGCTCAGTTCATTTTCAGGTCATTTTTTTGCTAGTATTGTTGCCTTTCTGGTACATATACAGCAAATTACAGGTAATTGTCCTATCTTCTGTACTATTATTTTGGAGAGCCATAATTCAGCTAACTAGTTATGCTTACAATTTGCTGTGACTGAGAGGAAGATCTGGAAATCAGATTAGCTCAATGTTTACTAGCTGAACTAGAGGAACGTATTCAAGTAGATAGTTTCAAATGCTCATAATTTTCTGCAAAAGTAGTTGGCATAATAATGGAACCATCATAGAGTTACTGTTTAAAAATGCAGTTAACAATTGGAAATTTAAGAAGTAAAAAATTGGTATTTTCCATCACGGGAGCAGGATTAAGTATTTCAGCTCATCTGAAAAAATTTGAATGCTTGCAGCATATATAGTTTCACTTCAAGCACTTTCTCAACTATGCTTGCTAATTTTGTACTTAATGTGATCACATTGAATGTCATCGCAGTCTTAATATGAATGTGATGAACCTTTTAGTAATTTTAACTAAATGATCTACTTTATGAACATCTAAAAATATTATTCATGAGGATGGGGATTGGACTACAATTAAGTGTTACCCAAAAAATATTTCTAATTGAAGATAATTCAATTTTAACGTAATTAAACATAAGTCTGCAGTTCTACTACAGATCAACATCACGTGAGCTGCGAAGGCTGGATAGTGTTTCTCGCTCACCAATTTATGCATCATTCACGGAGACACTGGATGGAGCATCAACTATTAGGGCATTCAGCTCTGAGGTAATGCGTATTAGCAAGTTCCAAATCTCGGTACTAACTGCTGTCAGTGTTGCATGATCTAAGTCCATTGTTCTATTAGATCCTTCACGTAATGTTTAGACCTGATTATCAAATCTCCTGTACTTGGCAAGGCCTCGAAGAATGGGATTGAATGGCTTTTGATGCATTAATTACTCAAGAATTTGCTTTTAGTTTCTAGATTCTATATGAGTACACGTTTTTTTTTTGTTATTCAATGACAGATCTAAAAGTCATTTGTTTGTTTTTGTGGCCAGGACTTTTTCTTCCTCAGATTCATTGAGCATATAACAGTATATCAAAGAACTTCTTACTCTGAGGTGACAGCAAGTCTGTGGCTTTCCCTGCGCCTTCAGGTATATACATGAAATTCTTATTAGACAATTACTTGTACAAGGTCTTATTATATTTTTTTTTTATATAGTTCGGAAAGGAGAATCCAATGCTTGATTGTAATTTATGTTTTGAATATATGCTTGTATTCATCAGAACTTTGCAGCTCAACATTTTAATACTTTTACGACTCTTGCAATCACTCCAACCTGCTAAAGTCAATTTAATCCATGACTTATTTCAGTTGTTGGCAGCTTTTATTGTCTCATTTGTTGCTGTGATGTCTGTTGTTGGATCTCAGAGACTTCTCCCCATCACTTTAGGCACTCCAGGGCTGGTGAGTGTTAGAGCTTTGGCTTGCCTTCTTTTCCTAAAAGTTATGCATCCAATGTTAATTTTTCTGCTTATTCACGAAAATGTCAAGCATGATGTTTGGAGGAAAATCTGCAAACACTAATTTACAATGTCTCTCTTGACATCAGGTTGGCTTGGCTCTCTCATATGCAGCTCCGATCGTATCTTTACTTGGAAGCTTTTTGACAAGTTTCACGGAAACAGAGAAGGAGATGGTTTCTGTGGAGAGGGTTCTTCAGGTAAATTAGTTTGAAACAGAGGAAGCATACATATACGTATCTCCATACTTGAATTTATCATTCTGTCTTTTCATTTCAGTATATGGACATTCCTCAAGAAGTAGTTAGAGACGAACAATTGTATCTGAATTGGCCATCTCAAGGGGAGATCCAGTTCCAGAATGTGACACTCCGATATATGCCTTCTCTGCCTCCTGCATTACGTGGTGTGTCTTTTATTATTACAGGCGGAACTCAGGTTAGTCCACCTTTGTAGTTTTTCTTTCCCTTCAAGAAAAACTACATTTAATTCAATTTGGTTTACATTTGAAACAATCCTTTGTAGTAATAAAAATTCAAGCTTTTAGTTTTAAACTAACGTTCTATATAAACCTACAAATTTTATATTTTAGGACAACCTCTACGTATTCTTTTATTTTACAATTCGCCACCTCTCCCCCTCCCCTCTCCTAATGCTAAATCTTGGTTCTGCCACTGATTGATATTATATTATTCAGGTTGGAGTCATTGGAAGAACAGGTGCGGGAAAATCAAGCATTTTGAATGCCCTATTTCGCTTAAATCCAATCAGTGGAGGTTGTATTTTAGTGGATGGAATTAATATAGCTGAGATTTCCCTAAGAGACCTTCGTTCTCATTTGGCTGTCGTTCCCCAGAGTCCATTCTTATTTGAAGGATCATTAAGGTACACTAAGTTAATTATCATACGTAGATGCTCCTTCAATACTTTTTTTTTTTTTTTGTGTAAATGAGAGGTTTTGAACCCAAAATTTCTTACTTACAATTCCTCCCATCTTAACATTCAACTCAACCCTCCCCAAAATACTTACATGTTATTCAGCAATACTGTTGCAATTATTATTAATTTTCAGGGACAATCTAGACCCATTGCACATAAGCGATGATAGAATGATTTGGAACATCCTGGAGAAATGTCACGTAAAGCAAGAAGTAGAAGCAGGGGGAGGGCTGGACATGCATGTAAAGGAGTCCGGAATATCATTCTCTGTGGGGCAACGGCAGCTCCTTTGCCTTGCACGTGCACTTCTCAAATCTTCTCAGGTAGAACAATGAGAGTGTGTGTGCTAGAAGGAACTTGTATGTGTACTGACGATACTGAACTTTCAGGTGTTATGTTTGGATGAGTGCACTGCCAATATAGACACTCAAACATCTGCAAAACTACAGAACGCTATAGCTAGTGAGTGCCGAGGATTAACAGTAATTACGATTGCACATCGTATCTCAACAGTTATGAACATGGACAATATCCTGATTTTAGATCAAGGAATCCTGGTATGCTCAGGTTCTTTCTGTAAATCTAAATTTCCTGATAGGAAACTCAGAAAAATGAATCTAATCTTTCTTCATCCTTCTTTAGGTTGAGCAAGGGAATCCAAATAGTCTTCTAAATGATGACTTATCCAGATTCTCAAGTTTTGCAAAAGCATCGAAAATGTGACGGCCTGCATTGCCTGTGTTGTATTCAAAACCAGCACTGCTAGAACGAACTATTTAACAGTTAGGGTTTTCTGTTTGTGCACGTTTCTTTGTATCAGTGATATTTGTGGTTCATGACAAAGAGCCGACTTCGGTATGAATAATAACAGTATTGCTGTATGAGACTCAAATGAACGATGAATTATTAGATTCCTAGTCAAATGTAAGCCCGTCCAATTACTTTATGCTGGCTAGAGAGAAATTATCCGTTGACACAGACTAGTTTGATTTTCCCAAATGCTGATTTCCGCCTCTTTATGTTTGTTGTGTTACATCAGTTTTGCATCCAAATGTCCCGTGAAATTGTCAGTTCTGAAGAAGGTTGGTGAATATGAAACCATAGAGAAAATAAGTACTTCCCACATCCCTTCAGTTACCTGTCTTCTCACTTGCGGGTGTATAGGCACCTCCGTCTGATGTTGTTGATGATGTCTTTGAAATGGCCTAAAACTTTTGTCATAGCAAACATGAAAAAGCTGATAATCTTGCAAGTAAATGTCTCGGTAGGCAGAGTTACTTTCCTTTCATATTCTCATCTTTCTTTTTGTCTAATTTCTTGTTGTGGCACAAATTAATTTGGACATAAAAATAGTTCTGGGTGTATCTTTATGTGCAAAAGACTGATATTCGTTTCAATTGAATATTGAAATGATCCTTGGATATGGAGCTGAAAGCCACGTTTGGTCATTCTGTGCCATGCATCTCGTGCCCTTTTCCCCTTACTTTATACTGTATGTTTGCCTAGCTATAAAATTGTGAATGTAATTTCTTTTGAGCATGCTTTCCCGCATGGTGCCAAAAGAAAAGCTCATCCGGACTTTCAGAAGGTAGCTAACCAGTTAAGTTATAATACTAATATAACTGCCTTTTATACACAGGGTTACTTAAATCATAGCGTTATTGGAAATGTGGTCCTAATTCTTGGTGAAATGAAACCGAGGTCTCCCAAACCTTATATCCGTCTTAAAGCTCTAAAGCTGCCTGGATTCTTTGGGGGTCATCTGCGTGCTGATTTACTTATAGTTTTATTAGCTCCATTATTGTTGCTGGACGAGTTCTTTAGCCGAAAGGATTGAATTAAGACATCTGTACGAGAATTTGCCCAAACATGCGGAAGCGGTCGACTCTGATTGTGACGCGTTGAGTTCTGAAAAGCATAGAACTTTCATAATGATGAACCCAAATTCATGTTTTGTCTGTGTATAGACAACTTGAGATTGTCTCCACGAAACATTGTCCGCTTCCCCGTTTTGTTTCCCGTTTTCTTGTTTTGGTGTCTTGCGATGGAGAATGAAAGCAGTTGCTCTCACTAGTACAATGGCTTTATGTGTTTTTCACTTTATCAAAATCTGAACTTTGTAGTCTTATTAGCTGTCAAGGGCCCAAGGCTTATTGTTTTTTGTGTTCATAACAATTTCTTAATTTTTCTTTTTCTTTTTTTTTGGTTTTGTTTATTGTTTGAGCTTATCGGATCCCTCAGAAAGATCAATGAAACTTATCTTAGATAGAAAACAATTCTAGATAATTTCGATTTAAACACTGTACAGTTTGGAAGGGGTCGTTCCAGGCAAAAATGCATCGCCATTAAATGTCTCGTGGATCAACAAATGTAACTGAGGAAGAACAAGCTCGAGATTTAATCCAATCCTGAGGTTCAAAGCTCCGGCTTTCTTGTCCCTCTTCCTTTGCCACTGCGAGTTTCTTTATGCACCAAAGATCATCCCATGAAAACCTTTTCCAGTGCGGAATAGCCTCTTTAACAGGATCATTTTGGTTTACCTCGGCTACCAAGATGCCGCAACCCCTATCATGCTTTGCCATATTATGGGCGAATGAACAAAGTGACCTCATCAGATAAGAGCCATGAGGACCTTCCATGTGAAGGCCATACAAAAAATAGAGTCCAAACTGTCTGAATATATTAGGTATTGAAGGTAACCTCAGCCACGGAAGAAAAGCGTCTACCGCCCTACTAGCCACGCTGCACGCGTATTTTAGGGAGGAAACACCCTTTACCTTCAGCTTGAACACTTCTTTGGTGTTCCATATGCTGAGGATGGCAAAGCTAGGTGGAAAAGTGTCAGATTTAGGGTCCCAATTGGAGAGGTATCCTTTTGGCAAGGCCACGAAGGTGCCAAGACTAAGTTTGTTATTCAGTATCATATCTACATCCTCAGGAAAGAATTCTGAACTTGCAAAAATCCGTCTATACACTAATGTTGCTAGCTCTGGAGAGACTCGAATCAGTGCTATGCTCGAGCTTAGTGACTTGTCATGAGCATGAATAGGTTGAACGAGAACTGTAGGGCTCCTGAATTTGATGTAGTTAAACTTTATGGTAAACAAATTTAGGGAAGGCTGATTGCTGCATTCGGTGGCCATGTATGCGTAATCCGCACCATTCTTTCTACACCATTCTTCTAGTTGTTGAACTAGTTTTGTACCAATACCGAGCCGCCTGCATAAGAAGAATTATTTTATTTGAACAGTAGATGGTCTGACAAAGAATTCTCCACTAATAAAAAAAATTACAAGGTTTGCAATAAAGAAGTGTGGATAATTATTCTAGTCTCCCCACTTGTACTATTTCGTTTTGGAAAGTCATCGATGATGTGATTTCATTATGTAAAGCAGGTGACATTTTCTAAAATTATCACTAATGGGGTTGATCCATAGCTGCTTTTGGGGGAGATGTTGTACGGAATATGTTCCAAAAAAAGTTTTGTCAGAATAAAATAATGCGAAGCACATTCAGGAGTCCAATGGACGACTTCTCGAGAATGGAATCAGGAGAATTATGGTAAGTTGCAAGAATGATTTGGTGCAGTAGTGCAGAGACATTTTGTATCAGATGATGATTTAGATGGGACTAGACAACTAAACAGTGGGCTTTATTATTCTTGCCACGCAGTATTATCATTCAAGGGAGATAATTATTATGATGATGATATTTCTTTAGTGTGGAATCTAATTGTCACTTGGAAGAAATTAATCAGTTGGGAGCTTCGTGGCCCATGCACCAAGAAACTAGTAAAGAGGTTTCGTTATCCTTTTCTTTTCTGCATACAATTCATGCACATATATAGGGACACGGGATGATCGATCGGCCATAATAATATATATGGAGAGAAAAGTTTTAGAACAGTGAATGTTAATTAAAATATCCCATCATTTCATAGGCGAATGTTCACAATGTAGAATGGTAACATATATATGCGAGTTCTGTGTAGAGCATTAATCGAGAAGTTATGATAACCTGTGTGATTTTTGCAGCATGAAATACGTACAAGTGAGTAGTATTATCCCTAGCTTCTTTACTTGAGAAAAAGATGTCTTTCAAAAAGAGAGAGAGAGAGAGAGAGAGAGAGAAGAAGAAGAAGAAGAAAGAAATACCTGTGTGCAGTGGAAACCCTTAATCCAAGAATACAAGCCAGTTTCACATAGGCAGGAAACCGGCCGGAGGGATTCTTTCCTTTAGTAACAGATTTTAAGCAACCCCTAATAACACCAACAATCCGTCTTTCAAATCCATATTCAGCTACCTGTTGTGTTGTCACAGCATGAAAAAATTGACAATAGCCAAGTTAATTACACAAAATCCAGATATATATATATATATATATATCACGCCATGCATGAAGAAGCCATGCACCACTATATTATCGATCATCATCTATGTCCACTTGTTAATCATTTCATTAATGGTCAGCGTGGAATATTAATAAAGTTTGAAATCAAAAGGATGCAGCAATTCCGTCAATGAGTAAAAGCATGCATGCGTAATTACTAATAACAAGTACTCCACTATATAATGAGTAAAATCCAGATATATCTGGTGGACTCACTCAAGAGAGTTAGGAAATTGATGAGTTGAGCGTTACCAGCATGATGTGGGAGGTGAAGTTGCGGATGCGAGCAGTAGGATCGCCCATGAGGTCTGTGACAACCGACGGCTTCCCGGGTTTTCCGACCTCGTACTGCCTCTCCAACTCCTCCACCGCCGCCTTATCTCTTTCTCCATCGTAGACTCTCACCACCACCAGTACTGGCTTTTCTCCTGGTGTTGGATTTGGAAAACTCTCAGCTGCTATTTTAGTTGACATTTGTATAATTAGGAGCTGAAAGGGTAGAAGTAAATCAATGCAAACAAGCTTATGGATTGTGGCTTATTTATATATAACCATCTGGATACATAGCAAGAAGGCAGCTTTGGAAGTTCGACCGTAGGTCTTTATTTAGTCCTAAACATGACATGGGAATGTGGAGTGTCTATCCACAAGTCTATATATTTTCGCATGTGCTTTTTGGGGAATGGTGAGTGTTTTTATCTAGGCAGTGTGTATCCAATAATTGGTCCAATTTTGATCTCGGCACTGGGGTCTAACTATATATATATATATATATGTGGAAGTGTGTGGCCATTTATTTGTAAACATATTCTTCTCCCTACTTGATTAACTTTTGGCTTTTGTAAATGTGAAGTTGTTAAAGTTCTTCCTTTTCACTACACGGATTGTGCAGCTTGACATATTTCATTTTATGTTGGGCGCACTACTCATCCACCAACTAGTATTTGAATCACTGGCTCTTGGCAAATGTGCTTTAATTTTATCATTCACATCACTAAGATTTGGTTAGAAATGTTTTTTTTTTTTTTTGGGCAAATTCCACTTTATCCCTCGTGATTTAGTATTTTTTTACATAATCCCCCTATGGTTTCAAAAACTATACATAACCTCCTCATGGCTTGAATTAAAGTATCAAAGTGACGGAAATGATTACTCGTAACGGAGTCAGTTAAAATTTCAAAAATGCCCTTTTATAAAGTTAAAAATTATTTATTAACCAAGGGGGTTATATGTATGCTTTAAAAATCATAAGGAGGTTATATGGTAAAACATAAAAATCATACAGGATTAGTGTGTCATGTATTTATAAGGATAATTTCGATATTTTTAAAAGTTCCGTCACGAATGACTATTTCCGTCACTTTGACACTTTAATCCAAATCATGATAAGGTTATGTATAGTTTTTGAAATCATAAGGGAATTATGTAAAAAAAAAAAAATACTAAACCACTGGAAGGTAGAATGTAATTTGCCTTTTTTTCATGAATTATCTAGTTATGTATACATATACCCGGCCCCTATGGGCTATGGTACCTTATAAGCTGAAGTCCTCGTTGTCGCCTTGAGCATTATCAGATTGATCATGGCAAATTAAAAAATGCAGCTTAATTATTACAGCATTTCTGGATCTTTTACAATAATCCCTTTTAATGCACTTCTTAGTTTTCTCATTTCTCTGGAGCAGCGGATTGAGAGAAATCAGATACTCGTGTATAATTTTAAGAAACATTATTGAGAATGAGTATGCTTTTTCTTTACCCTCCCTCAGAAAAAATCACAAATTTCTATTTCCCTTTTCTGCTGCTGCCTGTGATATTTCATAATTAAGCCTTTTTATACAAAATTAAATTTATATATATATACAAATAAAATAAAATAAAAAAAGAAACCCCAAGAACTTGTTTTTATCATTGCATCACTTTGGTAGGGTCAATTATTGGGTTCGAGTTGAGTCTGTAGAATAATGGCCAAGAAAGGGTTTATTGGTGGACATGTGGATGGCTCTTGGGAGCATCCCCTGATGATCGCATTATCTTATTATTTAAAAAACATGAGAAACGCTTAAAATTCTTCCAATCATCAAGCGAAACGCGTACCTTAAAAAGAATGGTGAGGCGCACAAAGGGGACAGATGTTGGATGGCTGAGATTATATAGAGAATTCTTGCGCTGTCAGTTGCAAAGTAGTAAGAATTCCTCTGTCGAATAAAATTGTTTTGGTCCTCGAACGGCTTTATCTTCCTAAGCCAAAGCCAGGGGCGACGCAAGCACAACGAATTCTCCACTCACAACAAAGACTGAAGCCACCAATTTTAGGAAGTTTCCTGTGGATAACGTACTACTATTAACTGTTCATACGTACGATTCTCTTTGTTCTTTCCCTTTCCTGTTTGTGTAATCAACATACTAATACTGCATGCATATTTTTTGATGCAAGAATGCATGCAGGAAACAATCAATTTATGGTTCTCAAGTCAATCAATCTTTCTTGATACAAGCATTTGTAGGTTGGTGGATAAAACATTTGTAGGTTGCTTCATGGAAATACACCTTTCTATTTCATGACATGAAGAATGTATTGGCAATAACTTTTCCAGCATCATTTGTATGTCTATATTTACGAATGCTTTATGGGAGATATGGAAATTGATTGACCACAATAAATTGACAGAATATTTCAACTTGTAAATTCCCCACTCATAAATCATAAAGTTAAATCTTGAAAAAGTATGATAGGGAAGTATGAAGGGATACGTTTCGCAGCCAGATGAAAAGGGAGGAAGAGGATCTACAGCACAAATTTCTACCATCTAACAATCTACTCTCTACAGTATATTCTTTCTTTGTTCAACGTCATTTTCTACAGTACCTAGTGAGCTAGGAGCCCTTTTAAAGGTTCCCTCTGATTAATTTTGTTCTCTCATCATGAACTGCTGCAAATAATGCCGCCCAGAATTCTCTCGTGGAATCGTGGCAAACAAGGTTGACAAAGTGGAAGAAGATGATGAAACTTAAGCTTGATATGAATGATCTCTAAAGAGGCGATCGAGATTTTATTCGGCCATACACAGTTGAGTTTAAATTGTTCCATCCAACAAACTGGTTGGTTTATGTCATTTTCTGTATTATCATAGGTGTTTTCCATGATCATATTATGGCAAGCAGACGTGACACAGTAGCATTTTAGTTGATGTAAGAAACAATGCAGGAAGATGATATAGTTCTTGAAGATACTACTGAATGAAGCTGGAAAATGCGTTCACTTCCACTCACAAAAATATCACCACATTGTTGGTAATTAAGAAAAAGAAAAAGGAATCAATGAAGAGTTCAAACAGCAAAACAAAGTCCTTCTTCTCTGATAATAGTTGTATTGTAATAGAAATGCACATCCCAAAAAAAGCGAAAAGGGTCCGACATCCTACCAGTTTTCATATGCAAACATTTTCATTCCATGGTCATAAAATAAAATGAAACAATCCCTCACATTTGCATATTATTCTTTCTTTATCCTTTCTCCATTAAGAGATCAATATGGGTTCATTTAGATCATATTTTCATGAAAATTTTTATAATATTTTTCATGATGATATGATGTGTGTAAAAATAAAAGATGATTGAGAAGTATATAAGAAATATCTCAATTTTTTCCCAATAATGTCCAAAAATTGCTTATCCATACAAACTAATTATGACTAAGATCATGAGGCAAAAAAGTGGCCACAAATGAGATTAATGACTAAAGATCTTACTTCACTTTAATGGCTAGATTGGGAGTTTAGGGTAGAAAAGTAAAGAAAAGAAACCTTAAGTTATAAAAGAAAAGAAAATAAGAGATTTTGCTGTTGTTTGGGAATTTAAAGAAAAAGGTGGAAAGATTTTGAATATATATGTCATTAAAAATTTATTCAATAACCATTTAAGAACACAATTGGCATTTTGAAGAAAAAAAAATTATAGGCACTCTTCCACTTTTCATCCAAATCAGCCCAAAATGGGCATAAAACTTTTCTCTACTGTAGTGTTAAAACAGATCTAGTTAAATCAGTTCATTTCCTTTAACAGATCTAGCTTTCTTTTCTGACATCAAGAATCTCCTCAAAGATGGAAAATTGATTTCCCGTATCACTTTCTTTTCTTTTCTAGCCAAATTTCTCTCCTCTCAAACGCACTGTAAATGTTTTAGGAACCAAGAAATGTAGAAGACTAGAGAAGGATAGTTTTGCAAATATGAGGGACCATTTATGCAATTTATTCTCAAACGGAAATATGATTTAATGGGCCAGGAAAGCTTTTCTATTATAACTAAATCTGATTGAATGGGCCAACAAGTCAAATCGTTCGAGACACAACATCTAGCCCACCGGTAGGAAGCATCCAAAACTCCCAGCCCATGGCAACCCCAGGACAACAACGTCTCAAAATCAGTTTCTTCGCCCAGATTGATGAAACAGTCGAACGAATTGAGCTCAGAAATTAAGGAAGGAATCCTGGTGGATAGTAACAGTACTTCGATAAAGGAAAAATTATGGGTTTGCTGGCTTGCTTAGGGGTGATATCACCATTCCCATTTTACTATTGGCTGTGGACTCAGCCTCAGACATGGGTAAATCTATGCGGGAAAGGGAGTGACCCCTGCAAAGTTATGGCAATGGTGTCTCATTTTCTGAAGTTGGTTCAGTTTGCATCTCTGCTTTCCGTTTCAACGCTTTCTTGGCCGCCTCCTTTCTACTTCTGGCCCCTCTTCATATTCGGCCAGTTCCTAAATTTCAGGTTCTTCGGCTTTGTCCATTTGCCTCATATTATGTAGCTTTGTAAATGTGCAGTCATTTAAGTCTTTGATATTGGAAATGCTGTTGAAGTTTGAGATTTTGAGGAATTGATTGAGATCCCAGATGGAAACTTTTAATCTAATATGGATTTTCATATGCGTTTTTTGATCTAGAAATGCTGTGAATGTTTGAATGATGGAGAATCATTTGATGCCCAGATTGAAGATTTTTCTTTATCTTTTCTGAGAAATGTTCATTCTTTATTTTCTTTGAAAATAATTGTTCTTTCTACGTCAATAGGAGGAAGGTAGAAGAAGAGTTTTTGGATTTTGTAAAGGGGTTGGTGGTGTTTGGCCTATTGCTGCGATGATCTGTTTTAACACTTTGATGTTCGTTTGATGGCTTGAAGTCATATAGAAGTTTAGCGTGGCTTTAGTTTTTGGAGAAAATAGAAGTTAGTTATAGCCTTACCGTGCTTCAGGTGTCCCCAATTTTACCTGTATGCATGCTTAGAAATAGTATGAGTACAAATGTGTCTCTACATAAACTGTGATTTTGTGTCATTAATAGATAACCAAATTATCATGTCTCAAGTTTTACATTTGGAATCAGCCTTCTAGTAAAATTTGATGAACGAGTACATGCCAAGGTTTGGCGCTGAAAAGGCGAGGTATTAGAAGTTTAATTTTATTCCTGAGAAGAAAAGAGAAGAAAGATAAGTGCTGGCTTTTAACTAGAATTTGTTCCTTATGCCATCAAGCAAGATGTTTTCTTGCTTCTCTAGATGGAATAGTATAGCTACAAGCTGGAGGAATAGGTTCATAGATTAGTCCCCTTTTACATACTTCACCTACATGTTCTAGGAAAAACCCTTGAACTTTCAACAAATTAATCAAGTCACACTAGGGGAATGATCTTTCTATACTGCATATG